AGTCTTCCAATAAGAATGCCAGTTAATGCTTCTTTGGGTTGTGGTTGGGTGTGAGGCAAATCACTCTGCTTAAACTGGACTGAGAGTCACCATCCACTGATGTCACTCAGACGACTCAGCAGCTGGGCATGGCTTTCAGTCATTCCTGCCCTAGGCCATATTTGAACAAGAGGTGAGAGGCGCTGTATTCTATTACCAGTCCCCTTTGCAACCCATTCCCTGTGGAGTTAAAAATGAAAAGCATCTAAAACTTTAGTCTCAACTCAGGAAGAGGGCAGGCCTTCCCCGTGTCATTGCAATAGATAGATGCCGCAGTACAATTCTCAGAAATATCCTTTCAGAGCAAAGATGGGAATAGCACATTGCATTAATCTATGAGCCCTCTTCCTAAAAAGCCAAACTGGGCAGCTATTTTGATAGGTGTATTTTTTAATCCAGTAACTGCAAGCCTAATGTTCTCATTCAGGATACTGTTTTGTGGATTCAGACACCTAACACATTTATTTGTCTCTGATTCAAACAAATATTTTTAATTAGTCAACACATATTTACTCTTGTGGGTGCCCAGAGGGTGGATCATGGTTGTGAAATGCTTCAGCACATATCCAAATTGCAACTCACTGTGTCTTAGTTCAAACTTAGATTTTGAAGCAGTCACAAGTCTACTCACCACTGAAAAGGCAACTCATGTTGACTCAACACATTTAAAATAGTTGGGGAAACCAGACTGGAATAATTTATTCCTGTACAAGCTTCTAGCCGAATGGTTATAGGACCCTGGGCCTCTCAACCCAATTTATAATCCAGTTCTGACTAATATGATGAGGTCTACTCACCTTACCCGAAGCAGGATTCCCAAAAGGCAGACCCTGAGAAGCAGACAGCAACTTTGAAATGCCAAAATGTGGCCAACATTTTGAGGGCCCAACCAGAGAAGAATGATAGCACATTTCTCAGATCATCTCAAATTCACGGGGCAGCAGCATTGATTATTTTCTCTGTTCAGAATTTAGGAAAGTGAGCAACAAGCAGAAGGGAGAAGGAAAGGAAGGGAAGAGAACTGTAGGGGCTGTGCAACGAAGCTTTAATTTAATCTTCCCCTTCATGAGATGGTTCAGTATGAGCCTGGTGAGTGATTAGAGAAAGACTTCACCAGGCTTCTTTCACTTTCCTCCCTCTGATAGTTACAGCAAAGACCAACATATATGACTGCAGAGTCATCAGCTGTAGAATCACCCTCATAACCATCTTGGCACCAATTCTGCACAACAAATTTATGACACTTCAGTTCTATTGATGTCCTACTCAATTCACACCCTATTCAGATTTAAGCGCTTGGATTTAATTGAGTTGTTGATCAGACTGAATTCATTCCACCAGAAACTGAATAGCATTTTGAGCAATTTTGGCAGAAGGAAGGAGAGAAAGGAAAAGAAGGAAAGAAAGACCTCGAAACTCTTTTTCAACTGCAGATAAAAACATGTGAAATCAAAGAAAAAGCAAAAAATACAGATAAAGAAGAAAGGAACAATTTTAATGGTAGAGGAAAAAGTACAGCAGATTGTAATTGGAAAATGAACAGAAAGAAGATCCCAAGAGGATTAAAATATTGGTACCGCATAATCTTAAATATGTTGTGTTGCAAAAGAATCCTTTGTGTACATATTTCTATGTAACATGGGCTGTTTAATTAAAATTATACAGCCACGTTTGACTTCCAGTATAGACTACTTCAGCTAACAAAGTCTACCCTAAATATGTTGAGCTTTGGACAAGAACCCCACTGTAGTCAAAAGGACTTCTTATGACTAAATATGTTCTAGCTAGTCAAAAAGAGTTATTCCATTTGCTCTATGGACTTTGGATAAGTCCTACATGTTAGGGAATGCTCCTTTTATGTGTGAAGTATGAAATAAATGCCTCAAATGTTTCCTAAGTGTGGCAGATTTCACACTTTTTCATTTTTGGATGGTGATTGGTCTACTTATATAGTACATGGCTGTTCTTTCAGTATTATAGTCAAAATGCCTTCCACATGACTGGAGAAAAGCTGTTCTCAATTGCCTGCCCACCTAACGTAATCACATGGTGCGGTATCCATCAGCATAAAAGTTTCCATCTACACAATGGAACTGGCTCCCTCTCCCATCTCCTGTGTGGCCCCATTCCCCCTCCAAAGCTGCTCCAGAAGTTTGGAAGAAACCTCAGAGCAGATTTAGGGGTTCCATAGAAGGCAAACAGAAAGAAGAGAGGGAGGGGAAGTTCTGTTGTGCACTCCAATATCCTTGTGCTAATGGAATTACTTTAATGTATACCACCAAGGGAGGTGGTAGCAACAAGGAGGCTTGTTCACTGTGTGACCTAGTCTGTTCACACAGATAGGTATGGCTTCCTTACATAAATTTCTGTAATTGTGACATCAAGCCACAATAGTGGAAACTGGAACCAAGAAACTACCCATTGGTGTATCCCCCCAGCCCTGAAGGCTGCGCATGGTGTTCTCTATGGAATGCATCTTCAAAGGCAGTCAAGACATATTAAATTGAAGTAATTTTGACTGCTTGCAACATTATTTTAGTGGTATAGGAAGTGTTGCAGCATGTGCCCTTCACGCATTGCTGAAACCTTGGAAATTCAAGCAGTAGCTGTTTGTGTGAATTGGACTGTAGGCAAGGCACAGCTCTGTTTCAGAGGGATTTAGTGATGTGAAGCTGAGCATCAATTTCAGCACTAGACAATGGGGCAACATCTCCCATGATCACCACCAGCCTTGTAGTGATTCAGGCAATGCAAATGGGAATGAAATGGCTTTATGGCCACAGTAGGTTTTTGAGGGCCTCCAGAACTTAGTATGCTACAATGGGGGAGGACTGTAACTCTGTAGATCACATGATTTGCATGCAGAAGGTCCCAAGTTCAATCCCTGGCATCTCCTGGTAAAAGGAGTAGATAACAAGAAATGGGGGCGGGGGACTCTGCTTTAGACTCCAAAGAGGTAGTGCTAGTCAGACTAGATAACACTGGGCTATATGGGCCACACAGAAGCTTTGTATGTTCATTTATATAAATTCAAACTATTTTCAGACCAGACTTGGTTGGATCTGTTAATCAGCAGTCAGTACATTCACATGAACTGTCCCTACTCAGGCACTTTCCCATTATGGCTGCATGTCCAAAATCCATCTGAATAATTTAGCCAAAGCTAAATTAATTATTGTCATTCATTTTGTGATATTGGTTTAGCTAGAAGAGTGGGGAAAGTCTATCCCTTAACCCCTTTTTTAATCACCTCCTATCCCTTAACCCCTTTTTTAATCACCTCAGTGTGTGCACTCAAACTGTATTCAATGGAATTCAGTCTGTCTAGAGTGAATACAGCCTAGACACTCAAGCGTTACTGGAGATGTCAAATATTGTTCTTTTGTATCACAACCATAAATAAAATTGGCAGAACCTAACCCTGGATATTCAACCCAGCAAACATGGCGTGGTAACAGTGTCTTGATCCTCCTGGTCCACAGTGTATTATTACTCGAGAGTAGGGTGAAAGCACAAGAGCAGAGTGAAAAGAAACACCAGTGGAAGAAGCAGGACTGGAAAGCCCAAGGTGAAAACGAGAATATGCCTCAGCGATCCGCAGAAATATGAGGTCAGGAATCATGGCATGTCATTAGACAAGTATTTATAAGGCACATACTGCTCTGGCTGCAAAACTGGTATTCAAGGACGTGTCCCTTCAGTTTATAGCTGCTATGCTTTCACGTGAACATATTGCACCACTTCCACAGCTGTAGGACCCAGCTCATCTTCCTGGCTCCTGTAATTTTCTACTTGTCAAAAACAGAACAAAATGCTAGGCCTGAGGAGGTCAACATTTCCCCCCAAAATGGGAAAACTTTGAATAGCCTCTCCAGCCTATGGCTTTCTTCTTCCAAATCTAGTAATATTATTTACCCTTAACCAGGGGAAGGGGGAAATTGAAGAGGTAATTCATGATTGCGGATCACCAGTTTACTCTCTAATGACCCAAGTCTGCAATTGAACCTCCAGTGAATGAAACTGACCAGTGCTGATTTGTATAAATCATTTCCCTGTAGTTATGGGGTCACGGGATCAGGTGTAACACAGCCACGTTATTATAGTGCTTATGTGAGCTAAGCCGTCACGGATCCGTTGTGGTGGTGTGTCGCCTTAAGCTGAGAATCGAGGAAATGTTGCTGGCGAATACACCACTTTGCATGCCCAGTGGCTATACAAAAAGGAAGTAATTCATCCCCTGTTCCCAACATATGGTTGCAGTGATAGTAGGAATGGGGCGCTGAAGATGCCTCATAATAGGGATTCAACTGCAGAGTTGGGCCAAGACTCTATACCTATTTTTATACACAACATTCATAAGAGACATAACATTTGAAGGCACTTTTCAGAAATAAATCTAATACCATTGTTATTTTGATTGTGCTCAGATCCTGTGGCCGCCAGTCTCCCCCACCCCCACCCCAAAAACCTTCTGTGAAACCTATGTTCTAACAGATGAATAACAGGAACAGGGTTCCCTGTGTATTTGTGTACTGAAGCACTAACACCTAGCATCCTGCTTACTTAATATGAAGTGGCACGTGCCCATCTTAGGACACTGTGCATGCATAGCCATGAAAGAGGATTGCATACATAAATGTGTGTCATTGAAAATTGATATTCATTTTGATTCATTTAAAAATCGTTCACTGTGCCATCCTATGCATGTTTACTCAGAAAAAAATGCCTCACCATTTTCAGTGGGACTTACTCCCAGGTAAGTATGCATAGGATTTCAGCCTGAAGCCTTTTTTTTTTTTTTTTGGACCCAGATTTCATGTGATAAATCTGAAAAAAATATATATTAAGTAAGCCAAGGATCACTTGAGTGCCAGATTACCACTGCAAACAATTCATTGCCAGCTAAGTGGATACTGAGTTGTATCTATGCTTTACTCTTCAATGGCCGAGGGTTTCCACACCTGTGCTGAGACACCAACTTTCTTGGCTGAGAACTTTGGCCTGGGAGCAGTAAACATAGAGGATGCTGCTGGTTCTTGCTTTGAAAAAGAAGGGTAGCCTGTCGACGCACAGGACTCAATGACAGGGCTAGAGGCATTCAACTGGAAGAAAGGTTGTGAAGTGTAGGCTGGTACAGAGTACACTGAAGATTCCCGGACATTAGAAGGAGAACCGGCGTTGAGCGATCTTGAAGGTAGAGCTTGCTTTGAGGCAGACGCTGAGTCAAACTTCGCAGGCTGCTTAGGAAGTGCACTTTCCTTATTATCAGAGGGAGCTTGGAAAGTAAATAAGGATGAATTAAGCTGGTATGGTTGGTGCTTCATAACTTCCAAAGAACTAAGTGCTTTCTTAGGCTTTTTCTTGGTAGTTTTGGCAGCAGCAGGGGACTTTGACTGTGGCTTGGTAGCAGCGAGAGGATAAGATGGAGTGTAGATGGGGTTATAGCCCACAGGTGGTGGTGCTCGAACATTCGATGAATATTTCCAAGATGCTGGTAAAGACGGAGTTGGTGATCCAGCCCGCGCCATATTGGCCTGCACGGTTTCTGAGTCTACCACATATTTTTCCATCCGCGACTGCCTTTTGGCAAAGAGCTGGGCTCCTTTCCCACTCAAAGCTGGGGGCATCTCAAAAGCTGGCCCCACCCCGCCAGCAAGCACAGCATTTCCTACTGGGGTGGTGGGTGTTGTTTTGGGTGTATAATTTTGGTGTGGCGCTGCTGTTTGAGGCCCTTTAAAAGGACTGGCTAGCTTAAGAGTACTTGGGGGCTGGGGAGGGGAATAAGTAGGCTGGGGAGGAGGGTAAGCAGGTTGTGCTATGTTGACAGGTTGGGGAGGGGGATAAGTAGGTTGTGCTATGTTGACAGTTTGGGGAGAGGGATAAGCAGGTTGTGCTGTTTTGACAGGTGCTGGAGCTGCCATTTCAGGTGAGTTTGGAGCTGGAAAGATAGGAGGCTGAGTAACAGCCACGGCTGGAGGTGACCAGACTGGTGAAGCAGGTGTTGCGGCAGTGGGAGAAACCTTTAACGAGGGTTTTGGAGCAACTGGAGGTGGGACCTTTTGCTTGGCTGCCTGGATTTGCATGAAATTGCAGGCCTCTGCTCCCAAGCTGAGGTAGTCTTCTTCAGGCCCCGATTCAAAGCCTGCACCACCACCTTTTTTGCCTTCTGTGTTCTGTACAAGGGACAGAAGGGCAGGGTTAGGGCTCAGCTTGGGGGTGTCTTTGAAAGTAAACATTGGCTTTGCAGTGCTTCTTCTCTTTGCCTCTTGCAGTATTCCAGTTCTTTTGGCAGGCACCGCAATCCTCTCATCCCTGGATGCGATCTGTTCTGTTGACTCTGTTGGAGACCAGATCGCCGGCTGCGCTGGACTGGCGGCAACTGGAGACAAAACAGTTCTGTATAAGGTTTCAGGGGGTGGGCTGACCGAAGTGTAAGGCGGTGGTGCAGGGAGATCTGACAGAGGGCTCGTCATGCTTCTGGTGGGAGAAAACGGAGCCGCTGCTCTGTTTTGTACACCAGGGAAAGGCTTGGCTGTTCTGTTGGAAGCAGCAGTCTTAAGGGCTTCTGAGGTTGGGTACATCAGGTTTGCTTCGGGAGTGATCCCGATGCCATTTTGCTGAATTGCTGCACCATGACTGTGGCTCACTTCTATGTAGCTTTTGCTAACGTGGCTTTTCACCCGGGAAGATTCTTCCTGTTTTGCCTGATATGAGGAGGAGCTCATTTTGTAGGTGCTCTCGGTTGCTGTGGCTGTCTGGTGTTCCTCAGAGGAGCTGTGCCCTGCCTGCATCCTCATTGCCTCTTGCTCAGCTGTGATCTGGTCCAACCGTTGACGCCTTTTGGCAAACATGACTGCCCCCTTGCCCTTGCTTTCTGGAAGCAGCTGAGACATCTCGTCCCCACTTTTTGGTTTCTTTTCAACCTCAAGCAGTCCAGTATCCCAGTCAAATGTCACAATCCGGTCTTCCTTGTCAATGTCGGAGAAGAAATCTTCATCGATTTCCGACTCACTCGTGCCTAGCAAGGTAATTTCAAAAGCGTTCTCTTTCTCACCTTCTTCACCTTCGTCTTCTTCGCCCTCGTCCTCGTAACGTTCTAGCTCCCCAGTCCCGTAGCTGACCAACGTATATTTCCTAGCTCTTTGGCGACGCTTCTTGAACATCAACACCCCCTTGGAATTGGGGTTTGGAGCTGCTGTCAGCAAGAGGGCAATGCTCTTACATTTAGACTTGGCTTCTTTCACCTGCTTCTCTGACTTACTCTCGCTCCGTCTGAGCCCTGCAGAAAAGGATTAAAGAACACATCTCAGGCAACAGCGTAACATGAGAGCCATTTTAACCATAAGCTGCACAATAGCTATTTGGGGTGCAAGAGTGCAGTCCTAATCTTTCTTTCTCTAGAGCTGGAATCTTCCCCTTATGTAAAGATGCATAGGAAAGGCATTGAGATTAATCTTTTCCCACAGTTCCAGCCATGATAAAAATTCCATAGCAATCATTCCTCCCTGGCTGACATTCTTTGCACAATTTTTTTTCTTATGGATTTGCTAGCTCCACTTTCAAGAGCTTTTGATGTCACATATTTGCTTCTGTCTGTGTACATATATATAAGCCAGTATAATATAGAAGATAAATCAGAAGTGTCAGATAGATGTACATCTACTATAGATGCTGAGTTAGTCACACATGCTCCTGGAGAAGTTTGTAGATTATGTTTATTAACTTAAACAAGATCAATTCCTCTGAAATAGTTAAATGGTTCAACTTGTCCAGGGATCTCTCCCTCCCCACATGTCTGAAAGTTATGGTGTAAGGAATAGGAGTTTGAATAAAACCAGGAATATTTTATATACACATACACACACAGTCCTACTGGGACACAACTAGCCCTTGTATTTCTCTATCCTGAGCCTTCTATGCGGCATAGAAAACCATGGTTGCAATGTAGTAGGCTTTTATAAGCAGATTATATGATAAGGCATGGATAGCCTTCTGTTCAAAGGAGAGGAGAGTAAAAGAAAAAGAAAAGGATCCCCCTGGAGGTGTGTAAGCTCTCATGCCCAAAGCAGCTATTGGGAACTCTCCCAACAGTGCCATATCTGGTCCTACGGAAGGCAGCCCAATTTTGCTGCTGAATTACAGGGCAAGACAAATCACAAGTTCTTCTACAAACAGAAAAAGACAATACTTGTGGTGTGATCATCCAGGATTTATATCCACAGTAAAATAAGTTTGATTCCCTGTACCCTGAAAACCATTTTGAATGTGAATAATTGTAACCATGGTATTGAATCATGCTATTCAGAATTGGATTTTTAAAAAACAATATGAAATAAATACTTTAATTAAATGTAACCAGACTGTTAATAGGGAAAGTGCTTCCTCTGGGGAGTGAAAAAATGAAAGCAGACTCTGTAAGCAGACCTAAATCAGTGGTATTAATTTACATTTATTTTTATTTTTTAATGACATGTTATAACTCTACTTTAATAACTAATTTCTGTTAATGTCTCTAGTTTTTATTAAAAAAGAAGCTCTGGAGGATATAAACTTTTCACCTTGAATGAACTGTTATTGAATGCTCACATTTTGCTATCCTGAGATAAACAGCATTTCCTTCTATTCATATTTCATCTCATATTTCATTTTTTACACATGTAGGTCTGCGCCTGAGCGTAAGCATTGTAATGCAAAAAATGCTTCCACCAGTATCACGGGAATCCTATGCACGCTTATCTGAGAGTAAGCCCCATCAATCAGAGGAGGACATACTTCTGAATAAATAGGCACAGGGTTGGGTTGCCCACTTCCAGAAGCATGTATTGGGCAAAAAGGGGAAAGAAACGGTTGTATAAGACATGAGATCTTAAACATCAGCAGGCACATGCTTTATGATAAGCAGGCTGTAGTGTGAGTACTAAAGCATAGAACCGAATTCCGAGCCTGGTGCCTTCCAAATGTTTTAGACCATAAATCCCAGTATCCCTGACATTTTACATCACTGCCTAGGAATGGTGGAAGAGAAGAGTCCAGCAATCTCAGGAGAGTACTTGGTTGGGGAAGATTGGCATAGATTAGAATATATTGATCTTATAATATGGAGCCCTATTGCTTTACAGGCTAGCTTATATTTCAATGTGGGATATACTACCCCATTTTCCTTTTGATGCATCGCAAACAGTATCCATTTTAACACAACAATGTTACATAATATTTTAGATAGCCTAATCCAGGGAACATGATTTTCATGAAGACTTCCATAGTAGATACTTGTTGGGAGCCAAAGAGCCCTGGAACTAGAGATGAAACACCCCAGAAGACTTTAGATTTGGGTGTTATCAAACAGAAATCTCCCATATCTCATGGTAAAACACATTTGAAGCTGTTTCTAAAGCAGTTTGTGATATGACATGAGAGTGGCAGCCTACTAGTCAAAGAGCGGGGGAGACAAAAATCATATTGGGTGCACGTTAGCCCTTGTATATATGGTACCTAAGCCTATAGTGACTCTTTTGTTACCAGCCTATGTTTATGTGTTTAGAAATCAATGTATTTTCTTCTTTAAGAAAGGAAATACGACTCCCTGGTTTGTATTCATTGCAATGGTACTTGAAGCATGCAAAACATTCCTATATTGAATGGCTTAATTATGGGTATTTAGTCAAACCCCTTTCTAACTAAACCGATGGTGTAATCTGACAAGCACAACCCCACAGTTGCTGCTGGCTTCACTGCCAAAATGCAAAGCATGCATGCTGTTCTTTTATACTCTGTTAAATATGACATAAATATGTGGATTACAGCTGGGCACTTCAAGCATAAGCAACAGCTTAATTTACACACTGAGGCAAACGGTTATAATTCTAAAAATATGCTTGTAGGGGAATTAGTAATGGGTTATCATGCTCAGCCTGTGCAAGACAGCTCAATGCTACAGTATAGCATCAAGCCTTTGTCATTTTGCAATGAAAAATCCCTTGACGGAATTCTTGAAATAGTCCACAACTGCCAGGAACAGAACTGAATCAATAAATGGATGCTTTGAGAAAAGCTGCATCTGAGTTAGTCTTTTTTAGCTGTCGTACTATTGGTCAGCTAGTTTACTTCCAATTAAAGACCTTGTGTAGATTTTGCACTGACCTCTAGGTATGGGAGGCAGAAGGAATAGTAAGTTCACTTTACAGTGTAGAGAAGCCTTGCAAAACTGAAAGGGATCATATAACTGGCCAAAAATACACATGCTGGTGTCTGTCAAAGCGACTTTCTGCAAGCATCATCAAGCTTCACTACTTCACTACTTTTCCTTTTTTTAAAAAAATCCTTCTCGACTTTTAATAGAAGTAGCATCGTAAGTATGCCAATTCTAGACAAAACACAGCCTTTCTTTGTACATGGTGAAACCTACAAGCAAGAAACGGTATGCCTGACAACATTTCTCTCTTCTGGGACAATCTCTGTCAAATTGCCTTTTACGTCTTTGTTAAGAAGCCCCACAGGCTGTCTGTACCAGCAAGTATTTTTAGCAGTAGAAAGTTAGCAGTCCTAGATAATGTTTCAAAGCGAGCTTTCTAGTCAGTGCTATGAAGAACATTCAATTCCTACTGATTTTTTTTAAAAATTATTACTACAGGGCTTACAAAAACTACATATCAAAACAACAGAAACTGAATGGCATTTAGAAAAGTGAGGGGGGGATATTAAGAAACCCCCTTTTAAAGTTTATATTAATCCTAAGCACATGGAGGCAATTTCACTTTGAAATGTTCTACGTTGCAAAATGCAAGTCTCAAGCAAAGCCACCCTCTAAGCGATAACATACTCACTGGCGTGCCTTGCCCTGTGTTTGTGAGGTCTGCTATGTTCCCTTTCAGAGTGCTGGTCGTCTTCTCCCTGCTCTGTGCCTTCTGACGAGATGCCGAAGGAGACTACAGAAGGAGGTGCTTCTGACTGCCCTCCTTCCACTTGAGAATCCACACACCCCTTTTCGGCCAGAGACCCAAACTCTTCCTTTGCCCTGTCAGAGCAGTCTAGGATCACCTCTACCTTGGTGAGAGACGGCTCCTTTGTCTCAGCTCTGAGGGCTGCTTTGACCTCTTTGTCGCCAGCAGCCTGGAATGTTCTGCTTGACCACTGGACAGCGTGGTCTTTTTCAGCCGCGGGACCTGCAGTCAGCCAGCTAGTCCCATCTTGCAGTAGGGTGGCTCCCGCTTCTGAGGACTTGTGCTGTTCAGCTCCCAGGACGGTCAGACTGGGAACACTGCTGCCTTTGTGTTTGCCATGCAAGAGGGACAACTGGAGCTCAACTGTTGGTCCTGGCTTTTCCCCGGTGAAAGCAGGCACCTCTATGAAGTGTGTTTTAGGGGCTTCTATCACTTTGGGAGGGATTTTGTGAGAAGGGGTGATATCTCTTTCGGCATCGCTTTGCTGCTCTTTCTGGAGTGTTTCATGGGTTGCGCCTATGATCTGCAGTTGTTGGTGAGGTCTGGGGGCTGCTGTTCTGATCTGCAGGGTAGTGCTCTCTTTATATTCCTCATTTTTAATGTCACTGTCATTTTCTGTTTCAGGACTGAAGGACTCATTCACTCCACTGGAAGATCTGCGGAGACACAAATAGTGAATCGGAGTTGTAAATCTAATTGTGTATCAAGCTACTTTTTAAAAAGTTCACATCATCAATACAGTGCATTGCACAAGTAGTCAATGTGTTGCCCTCCAGACTTTTACAGTACAACTCCCATCAGCCCCAGCTAGCATGCTCAATGGTCAAGGAGATGGGAGTTATAGTCCAACAACAGGACACCACGGCTACCCCTGGTGTATGCAGTGTTGGACTTAAGCTGGGGAGAACCAAGAGTTTACAAATGAATCTCAGAATGGAGTTGGGCAAAGCAAGAAATCCTCTGGATCCCAAGTCAACCCTGCTGCTGTTGTGTGATGACAACAAGCCTCATTCAGGCATTTTCACTGCACCAGTCTAGGAGCTGGCAAAGCAAACATTCAGTTTCAACCTTCTGCCCAGGCCAGCATCAGTGGCAGGGCTGTGGATGTGGCACTGGGTATCCTGCTTCATTAAGTTCCACTGCTGCCAGCCATATGTGAGGTGGCTTCCTAGTTCCTTCCTAGTTAGTATCTAAATCTATCACATAATTTGCTTTGTAGGACAAAACTAGTAAAGTTTTTGGGTTTTTTTACTAACAGTAAGAAACGTAGACACCTGAACAAGTGTTGACATTGATGCCAATGCATCTTTCTGTCCTGGTCTTCCAGTATATTGATGAGCCTCAAACATATTTCCACGTATTTCCATGTATTATGAAGAAGAACATGTTAAAGATGGCATTCTTTTCACTAGATCAAACCATAGCTTAGTGTGAATGTTCAAATGTGCAGATTATTGGAGAGGGTTGTGGCTGCCACACAACTCCTGTGGTTCCACTGCCATACTAACTGGGAATAAGCCATAGTTTGGCTTCGTGTGTCATCAAATCCCAGGCTCATGGTTTGTCTCACTCTGGACATACTGTGAGCTGTCACCAAGGTTTGTTCTTCATTTAGCGTATATGCCACACAACTGAGTGGAACTATTCTAAAGAACAGGGTTGGAGGATTTTAGCCTTTAGCACTGAAACTGGAGATGGGGTTAGTCTTCGAGGGAAGGACAAGCTCTGCCCTGCTACCCTTTGATTTTGCTCCAATTTCCCTGAGAAAAGTACCTTTACCTTTGAGGAATGATGGCATAATACATGGGGGAGAGCTGACTTCAAAAAAAGACAGGCTTCACAAGGTCTGTCCTTAATTGCAAATGGCAATCCCCTTGGTCCCAGCAGGATCAGGCCACATGTGACTTCTAGCTAAGGGAATGCTTTGTGGTATCGAGGTTTGCTGTCTGCCATTGGATACCCTATCCCTTCTCAAAGGCAAGATCTTTTACTGTGAGAATGTGGGGGGAATTGGCAGTGAATGTGTGAACCAATCCTTTGGGTTTTTGAGCATTCAAAGCCCAGCTGATTTTTAGGGCAAGCCCAATGAGTCCCACATTTTAAACAAGCTTTTCAAAAGCATCTAAAAATGACTTTTTTCTCTTTCTTGGCTCCTAGAAGCCAGATTCTACAATATGAAAGTCATAGTATTGTCATCAGAGAACTATTCATCGCTTTGTTACTGCCTAGAGGCAGCAATGGACTATATATGAAAAGGCAAAACAGAGGCGCTCCTGGTCAGGAGAGATGACATGTCAGTTTTTGTTTCTGGGGTGGTGAGAGTCTAATTAATGATTCCCTCTAATTCTTCTATTAGTTAAATAATATTGTACTTCACAGAAAGGCTATTTAATGGGAAGTTACTCACAAATTCCACAGGCAGGATCAATAAGAAGCAATAAAATATATTGAATCTGTGAGCAGTACATTTCTGTTTGAAGTCATCGGGGGCTTTTGCTGAATGGAACTTACTTGTGGGTCTTATTGATAACCCACTTGGCCATTGGGAAAGGGCACTGCTAGTTAATATAGCTGTTAAGTGTGTTGATATCAATGCCACCCTGAGCTTTTTTGGGAGGAAGGGTGAAATATAAAGTTAACAAATAAAAATATACAGTATTGTGCCACATGGAGATCTCTCTTTTAATTCTGCTTCCAGCAAATTGCAGAGTGGTGTCTTAGCAGCACTAAAGGGGTCTAATATGGACCCAAGGCTGTCACATCTTAAAGGAAAGGGGGGGGGAATGTAAGTCCTTGATTCTCTCAGACCCCACAACCATACACCCAAGTGATATACCATGAATTTTCTATCTGGCTTCGAGGAAGCAAAAGTTCAGTATACTGAATAAAAAGCATGAATAAATTATGCAGAATCTGGCACTGTTGGTTGAAGATTTTAGGGAAAACTGGTAAATTAAAAGACATGCTTAAAAAGCCATCTGTTTCTGGCAAATCTCAGTCCCACTCTTGTCTCTGTCTTGCACATCTGTATCAGTTGCTGGAAACAGTACCTGGACACAGGGCTGGTCCATAATATCTATCAAACCATGGACGGAGCTCCCAAAAGGTCAAGCATCTTAATTTATGCAGCCCTGTGAATGTAGCTGGTTTCCATCATGTTGTGTTATTTGGACAATCAATTGTGGTGCTTAATAAACTATGAATCTGTAAACATTTCCTTGTAGGAAGGAAGACTGGGAGTGAGCCAGATAAATGTTGGCCTTTATTGGTAGCTTAGTGTGTCTGGATTTCTGTTTATGTGAGGACAGGAGGGAGGGAGGGAAAGAGGGAGAGACAGAAACAGAGCCACAAAGAATTCCCCCCTTAAAAGGCTCTCTGCCTATGGATATACTTGAAGTCTTTATACACCATCTCTTGTCCCCAACAATAAATGCTTGCCATTTGCTGTGCAGGATTAAACATCTTTCTTTAAAGTCTGATGATGATTACAATTAACCAAGTTGCACTTCTGTTGTGGGGAGACTGACCACGAGAGACAAAGCGCATTGTTCCCTCTAGGACTTAAACTTCAGTATTTGTATCTGGTCTGTGGGATTTAATCTTCACTCTTATTGGGCAAATGCATTTTCTATTATATAAATGATAAGTGATACAACTCCTATCACACCACTGTATGAATTTCAACAGGCTGATGCTGTTTAAAAGTGAAGTGAACACCACTCTGATCCCTCTGAAAGTTTAGATAAGTTTATGTTATGACTGTCAGAATGATCCTATACCTGCTTCCATGGGAATTAATCCTTAGTAAATTGTTCAGGGTCGAAGGCTCAGTTTTCCAATGACATAATTTAATTATCCATGTAATTAATTTGCACTTTCTTGATGCAGTTATGAAGTGCAAAGAACCAGGCATTGTGATTGTGAAAATAAATGTTCTTAAAATGGTATATTAAAAATTGTGTAAAGTGGCATAGAAAGTGCAAAGTTGGTTCCCAAAATCGCCATGGGACTATAACATGGACCTTATCAGTATAAGTAGCCAAGCTGAATTTCAATTACCTCTTGATAAGCATCTGGAGAGTGTCAGCCAAGCCTTCCATCAGAGCGATAACTTCAGAATAGGTCAAGTCGGCACAAGGGTTGCCATTGATAGATATCACCTCATCCCCTTCGCACAGCCCAGCCTTGGATGCTTTGCTTTTATTGCGAATCTGAAAGAAATAAAAAGTAAAGCATCTATTCAGATAGTGGCAGGAAAAAGGTTCATTTCATTCGTATGGGGCAACAAATTGCCATAAGAAAGCTGTATTTATCCATTGTTTTGATTTTTGAAAGACTGCAATGATTGCAGTAATTTATCAAATTCTTCTACATTTCATCTACTTACATTTTCAATTTCTCTCTCTCTCTCTCTTATTGCTGACCACATATCGCCAGCTCATGCCCCTTGATTTCAATCAAAGGATGGGTGCACCAGAAGGCTATAATGTGCAGATGACCAGAGCGATGGTTTGTAGAATGAAAAAAGGACACTCACTAAAACTCCTCTGCCACCTCAGAAGCAGGCTAGCTGCAACAAAAAACCCTTGATAATTTTCTTGATTGATAGAGAATGGTTGAAAAACATAATAAAGCAGGTTGGAGAGATGTATCAGAACAAAAACAAAAACCAGGCACCTTGGAATGTATTTCTACAGCGGGATGTGCCTAGCTTCTTCCACTTTCAAAATGCCAATGATGTAGCTCTTGAATACTCAATCATTTCCCTTACTCTTTCACAGGGTCATTCACATTTCAATGGTTATTTTTATAACTCAGCATTTATTTTGTTCCGTAGTTTTTTAAATATTGAAAACCTGCTCTAGAGAATTGGAGGGAAGTAGACTCAATATGGCTAACGGATTGAGGTTAAATCCTGAAAAGACAGAAGTACAGTTTTTAGGGGACAGGAGGCAGGCAGGTGTGGAGAACTCCCTGGTCCCGATTGGGGTAACTGTGCCCCTGAAGGACCAGGTGCGCAGCCTTGGAGTCATTTTGGACTCACAGCTGTCCATGGAGGCACAGGTTAATTCTGTGTCCAGGGCAGCTGTCCACCAGCTCCATCTGGTACACAGGCTGAGTCCCTGCCTGCCCGCAGACTGTCTCGCCAGAGTGGTGCATGCTCTAGTTATCTCCCGCTTGGACTACTGCAATGTGCTCTACGTGGGGTTACCTTTGAAGGTGACTTGGAAACTACAACTAATCCAGAATGTGGCAGCTAGACTGGTGATTGGGAGCGGCCGCTGAGACCACATAACACCGGTCTTGAAAGACCTACATTGGCTCCCAGTACATTTCTGAGCACAATTCAAAGTGTTGGTGCTGACCTTTAAGGCCCTAAATGGCCTTGGCCCAGTATACCTGAAGGAACATCTCCACCCCCATCGTTCAGCACGGACACTGAGGTCCAGCTCCGAGGTCCTTCTGGCGGTTCCCTCACTGCGAGAAGTGAGGTTACAGGGAACCAGGCAGAGGGCCTTCTTGGTAGTGGCGACAGCTCTGTGGAATGCCCTCCCATCAGATGTCAAGGAAATAAACAACTGTCTTACTTTTAGAAGACATCTGAAGGCAGCCCTGTATTAGGATATTTTTAATGTTTGGTGTTTTACAATTTTTATATGTGCTGTAAGCTGCCCAGAGTGGCTGGGAAAACCCAGCCAGATGTGTGGGATATAAATAATAAAATTATTATTATTATTATTATTATTATTATTATTATTATTAATACTACTACTACTACTACTACTACTACGACTACTACTTGTGACATCACAAGGATTCAGGCAGTCAGTGCTACATACAGCTGTCTTCAGCTGCAAACAGGAAGAATGAAATTCCATTAACTCAGTTCTTAAGACAAGAATCTGTTGCATCTGCTTCTACAGCAGGTTCAGATCCTCCAAGTCTCTCTGTTTTCCAGGGACAGTCTGAGAGTTACAGGTTTCTGATTTGATCCCAGAAATGCCCCACTTTTCTTTAGGATGTCCTGATTTTCATCAGAAAATTATTGGAAGGTATGGAATAGGATGTCCCTATTTTCATCAGAAAAATGTTGGATGGTATGCAAGTTTACTGCTGAAATTGCTGAAGTCTTGATACACTATCACAGAGTTTCTTTTTCTGCAGTATCTATAATCCAGCTTTGAATAAGAGAATAAGTGAATGGAAATGATATAAAGCAATGTGAAGCAGACTCAACAGTGCCTCAACAGAACACAGATACATGAACATTACAGCTCCTTGCACAGTGGTTTGAGCTGGTAACTCACTGGTTGGGCACCTGTGGCCTGGGGTTGTAATTAGGCCTGCAAGGACCCAGGGGCTGGCCCACCAGGCTATTTTGAATGAACCATACCCAGTGGCGTAGCGTGGGGGGGTGCAGGGGGGCCCGGCTGCACCGGGCGCAACATATGGGGGTTAGGGTTAGGGGGCGCAAATCCACGGGTTAGGGAGCGCAAATCCACGGGTTAGGGGGCGCAAATTACTTGCCTTGCCCCGGGTGCTGACAACCCACGCTACGCCACTGACCATGCCCACCTTCCCCATGCCTAATGATGTGGCTACAAAAAAGGAAGAACCAGGAGCCCACCCCTGCACACTAACAGAAAGAAGGCATCATTTTTTTAAAAAAAGTGCTCAATTTTGGTTGCAAGAAAAAATTTGGGAGCACAATCCTGATTTTTCCTTTGCAAGCATGGCTTGAATTCAAACCAAGGCTGAAAATGGTGAATCTTGAAATTTTAGTGACATAATGTCACGTGACGGCAAGTGACAGACAGATGGGTGGCCCCTGACACTTGTCAAAGTGGCCCATGGAGGGGTTACCACTTCTGGATTTAACCCTCTGACTGGATCCAATTCCTCACACTTGCTATAGGCTAGCCTACTCCCCATCTGAGTTGTCTCTGAGTTGTCCATCTCATGGTTTGAGGTGGTCCTGGAAGTCACCTGCTGCCAGCCACCAACCACTCAGCTGAGCTGAGACAGGGTTTGTTTTCTATACACTAAGTTGCACATGTGCTGCTCCTATGCAGAAACCTATCTCAGAAAAAAAGCTTGCATAACAACAGTAACAACATGAAGAATCATAATCATCTGCATAATAAAAAACGTGGTTGCAGTGGGCTTAGATGGTCAAGGGAATCAATATTTAAAGTTATTCACATAAACTGGCCAGTCACATTCGCTTTTTTGGTTTGGTCGACTCATGGAGCAGAATGAAGTATTATGAGGTGGCAGGATGACCAGAATTGTTTCAGGTTGCAAGCTGGTGGGGAGGGGCACATTTTGAAAATTATTCCCTATGTAGAAAGTTTGCCACATATAGCACATGCTTAATACTAGGAAGCATTCTGAAATCACACTCCCCATGTGTAGTCTGAAGTGGTACAGTCCAGCTTTCCATTAGCATACAGTGCATTCCTAGGCATGCCCACTCCATTAAGTTCATTGGAGCATATTCCCAGGTAAGTGTGCACTTACAAGACTGGCACCTTAGCTCACTTAATTACGTTGCATATATAGACCAAGGTCAGAGCTTGGTTGCCTTTGCCATTAATGCTAAATTCATTGAAGGAAAATGCATCACTCTCAGACCATCCTGAGGTGAGAAGAAATGTCTTCAAAATGTGATACCTTCTGAGCCTCCAAGACTCACCACTCCTCATGCTTCCTGAGTCAGGTAAAGGTAAAGGTAAAGGTACCCCTGCCTGTACGGGCCAGTCGTGTCCGACTCTAGGGTTGTGCGCCCATCTCACTTAAGAGGCCGGGGGCCAGTGCTGTCCGGAGACACTTCCGGGTCACGTGGCCAGCGTGACGAAGCTGCTCTGGCGAGCCAGCACCAGCGCAGCACACGGAAATGCCGTTTACCTTCCCGCTATAAAGCGGTACCTATTTATCTACTTGCACTTAAGGGTGCTTTTGAACTGCTAGGTGGGCAGGAGCTGGGACTGAAAGACGGGAGCTCACCCCGCCGCGGGGATTCGAACCGCCGGCCATGCGATTGGCAAGCCCTAGGCGCTGAGGTTTTACCCACAGCGCCACCCGCTTCCCACTCCTGAGTCATACTTAGCTGCAATAAAAATAACTTTAAAACCCAAACTAGTGACACACAGTGAACCTAGCTGCCACTGTGGCATCAGGGTATTCAGTTGGATTAAGTAAAGAGAAAGCTCTGTCAAAACATTTTCCTTCTAAACAAAAATCTGAAATGGCTATCCTAGTGGATTTTTTCAATAAAATGGATTTGGAATTGAAGCATGGTGACTTTAGGGTGCACCTGTTAGTAGATTCCAAGACAAGTCCATACCTTGATAGGACTGATAATTTTTGGTGACTTTTTCCACTTGGATTATGCCAGAGCCTTACTTTTATACGCGAATTTGTAAGAAACAAAATTACGAAATGTGTAATTTATAATTGTGCAAGTTGATTGAGATATTCCTTAGCCTGCAAACTATTTCAAACAGACCAGTTCTATGCATGGATGAATGAGTATGACGGAAAAATGAGTCTTCATTTTTATCCTCAGATGAGAAGTGTGGCCCTTGTGTTTTTAGTCCAAACACAACTGTTCCATGAATTAAAGCAAGTCTGCATTCCTTGGATTATCTCAGATTGCATGGGTAGAAGAAACAGGTCTGGGATATCTATGACTCAAGTCACGTAAAGCACCAGAGGCCATAAATAGAATCTTACATTGTTGGAACTGGCAGCTAATACTTGGAAGTACTAGCAAGACAAATTGTTAGTATTTTATGAGTTCCAGGACTAACATAAGATATCTACTTTCTGTTATGGTTCACATGGACTATGAAATAATATAATATTCTGAGATGTGCAGTGACATTAACCAGGCGGGCATCTAAGAACTCAATTATATTAGCCAATGCAACAGCAAATAAGGACATCTCTGCAAAGAGAAGGGGAAATGGACTCAGAAGTGCCCAGCAGTACACCCAAGCACTCTTGTTTATAGAATTCTTGGCACTGCACAGATCTATGGATAAGAAGAGATGCCTGAAATGGGGAATGGCAGGAATGAAACATGCTTATGAAGCTGAGTTAATATTCTCTGTTGAATAGAATGCTGGTCTAGTGCCCTTTCCAGTAAATGGCTTTTATTATTAGCAATCAGTGAATATCTAGATCTAATCCATGACAACAAAGCACT